TCAGAACAGCCGTTAGACATTCTCGATCGAGAGGCAATGACAGATCAGAAAAATTAATTTTCTATAATTTTGTATGTTGGTCGTACTAGAACTTGAACCATGGGCCTCCGAATGATAGTACGCACCACTAACCGCTCGGCCGTTGCGACCTTTCAGCTATAACAGGCGAAATCCTTGGCTTTCCTCACCAGCTAGACAAAGAAGTAACGGCTTGAACTGAATTAAATTTTATCAGCCGACAGGTATTCAATTGGGAACTATATAGACACGGAAGAAAAATCTACAAGCCTGTCAGAATAAAGCATCGAGGACTGTAACGTGAAAGTTAGTGATATGAAACATCAATGCCCTCAGTTTAGGAGTATATTGTTACGCTGTGTAAGCCATATTCTACCCTACGATATACCCCGACCTCTACTTGAAGCGGAACCACACCACATCGGGAGTCAGCCCCACAGAACGGAGTACCTGAGCAGGCCGACATATCGACTGACCCTAAACGCATTCGCAGAGAGTATGTCAACACCTTTACAAAAAAAAGAGTTGCCGCACGATACTAACCATCTCTTTGCGTGTCCTATTCATCTAAACCTTCCTCCCTATGTTTCGCACCAATCGTAAAAACTTGTTGTCGCACCTCTCGTTAGATGACTTCAACGACATACGCTGAGTACCGCGTGATTCTAGGCGGGATTAGACTCAACAACAACAGTGTTGAAAGGTTTCCAATTGAAATCATTAAATTTTTGTAAATGAAACGGAAAAGAGCTTGAGCCGAGAATATTCTCATTCAGACTCTATCTCGGCATATAATTCCTCTTGCCACTTTAAGTTTCTGCTATAGTATATTATTTGCATACCTACTGTTCAACCAACAGTTCTCTGCCTTGAATGTAATATAGCCGAAAGAGCTCGTATCCTTGAGCACCCCACCACTATCCTTGAGCACCCCACCACACTCCTCTATACCACTGCGCCTCAGATTTGGTATACAACTTTCTAAACAGCCGGTTCTACGCACCAGCGTTGACCCGGATTTTATCCGACGAAGCGCCGCCACCCTTTCGGCGATCTAGGTCCGTTTAAATCAACAGGTAAAAACAGCACAACTTAGGTCTGAATATTGCAGCAAGTTATACTTCCACTTATCCAGAGTCGACCCCAACATACCTAACGTATGCCCTGCACATGACCCCTTAAGCCGACATATCTAACTCCTATCTACCTTTAGTTCGATCCCGTCGAAGCAGCACGTTTCCTGCACCTCCCGTTAGATGACATCAGTGACTTAGAGATTGATTTTATCTGTCCCAAAGCGGGGTTGAAGTAGCCGCTACAACTAAAACAACAACAAGTTTGGTGTCGACTCGTACTTTAGAAAAATACGAAGAAGTTAGCATGACAGAAATGAGGTGACCATGATTATAACAAACGAGATGTATCCATTACAGCAGGGAGTGCTTAGTAGCAATATAAAAAAGACTATCGACTGAACGAGCACGTGTTGTTGTTGTTGTCATCTAGTAGGAGGTCCAGGAAACTAGCTGTGAAGAGGTGGTTAGTGTCGTGCGGAGACTCTTCACATGAACGAGCACGTCGTAGGCTTCTCTAGCACAGACCTTAAGGCAGAACCTGCAGCTCGTGATAGCAGCCAGATATGTCTAAGCAAAACGGAGATAAGGGCAGACCTTAGGGAAAAACAAATCGACGCAATGGGATGGCATGAGATATTCAGCAAAATAACCCTGAGAAAGAACATAAAAAGCTGCAATGAAGACCATTCCAAAAGAAACTGTGGGCTGCATGTGGGGCAAAAAAAAATCGTCTTAATAGCGATTTTAAGACTTCCGATGTAGAACTCAGTGGAAATTTATAGTTCTTGGATTTTTTGTTTTTATAGCTCATGGAGCTCCTCATTCACATACGTATATTTTATTATTTTTATTTAAAACCGTGTTTATTCACTGCTGCCGATTCGGACAATGAATCGGCCCAAAGTGATTTCCTTGTTGACTAAAAAGTGCTCATTTCCCACTGTTTCCATTAGTAATTATTTAAATAAATATTTATGCATATTCATTTCGTTAATACGTTTGTAATCATATTTTCATGAATATACATATGTACTTATGCATATACGTAAGTATGTAAATAAAATTAAAATAAGTACTTGAACGTGGATTTGTTAGGAAAATCTCACAACCAGCAAAAACTTTAGTAAAATACAGAGAAAAGGCAGAACAAGAAGAAGAAATTCAAAAGAAGGTTGATCGCTTTATTTTAGTTTACCGATATTAATTTAATATTTCTATTATTTAATATTCTCATTTGAATTTTTGTAATACTTCTAATATATATATATATATATATATATATATATATATATATACATTTTTTTTTTGGAACCTTATTTTATCCACTGAGCTTATCGCACATACCTCACATTACAAATGTGTTGAACAACAACAAGTGTGCCGCTGACGTCAATTTATAATTATTATTTGCCATAGCTTATTGTTTCTTATATGCAAATAGATTTTCTTTATTTCATTTATTTAATTTTATTTTTTCTTTTATAAATCTCTCGTGTGCTGTCTGCAGATACAAGCCTGGAGTGTGTGTGTGTATGTATGTAAATTATGTTCTTTTTTGAAAAATTGGGCCATCAGCTTTACATTTTTCTAATTTGTTTAGAATTCCTTATGTCAAGCAAAAACTGTATGTACGTGTATGTATGTTCGTAAGTCAACAGGGTGGCTGTAATCCAAATATGCAGAACTGTTTCCTAAACTAGATTGCAGTATTTTAGGAAAGCCGAAGAAAAGCTTTTTTAAGGCTGTCTTCACCAATATTTAACTGACTTAGTTTTTCTTATCCAATACTTAAATCAGCTGTGGAGCCAACTCAGTTCTGTATATTTCTATTGCAGCCTTCTTGTGAGCTCAAAATTTCAGTTTAAGGCAAAACATAAAAGCATTTTTTACTGCCGATAAAGTACCAAAAGCATGCCAAATAGACGAGTAGTCGCGTATGCCTGTGGATATCGAGTTTAGACGTTTATCGCAGAAAATAATTAACGTAGTTGCAATGAATGTAATTGCGGATAATTAAATTAAATGAACAAATTAGTTGTGATTCGCATCCATTTCAATTTACTCTTACTCTAATTGAAAAGGCACTCCTGTCCTGCATATGAGCATACAGTTGTGTCCTTCGAAATAGCAGAGCTGATTTTTTTTTACAATTAATTATCTATACTGTTGAGCATTTTAGAAGTTATTGACACTGAATCAACTTAAAAAAAATTTTTTTAATATAATCTTGAAATAATATATATGTATATGTATATACATATGTGTTTATATACAATATTTATATACTTCATTTGCATTGTCCTTCTGGTTATACACTGCGCGACAACCGATTAGCACACCCTATGTTGCTCGTCTTAGAAACTTAATATCAGGAAAACTTAAAAAAGCTTTTCAAATAAATTTTTCCCCTTAAAAGAATATACAATTTCACACGAAAATTAATAGAAGATAGGATACTAACTTTATAAAAAACATTCTCAATTAAGGTAAACAAACATAACATACAAAATTCACTATTATTTTTGCGACAGCCGATTAGCACAGTCACTTGAAAACTTAAAATAACAAAAAAAATGGATTTAAACTTAATTCAAAATGTTTTTTAACATTAATTTAAATATTTTTAACATTTTTTTGAACACAAATTAATAATGTGTTGAGCCTCCACGGTAAAGTATGACTTCGTACATCCGCTGAGATAAGGAGTCATATAATTTTTTTTATATAATTGAGTGAAACAGCCTCCCAGGACCTTTTTATTCCTTCAATGAGTTCTGCTTTAGTTAAATACTGCCTGCCGGACTCGTACACTTTTCGTGCCAGCCATCCCCAAACATTTTCTAGAATGTTCAGGTCGGGCTGTGTGGATAGGTGCGTTGTCCTGTTGGAACCTCCGTTGAGTCGTTGCATCTTTCTAAGTTGGTTTAGAATTGTTTTTTTTTTTTAATTTTAGATGCTTCATACGTTCAGCATTCGAAATAACTCTTTGCACAGTCCGAACGCACGCTTTAATACTAGTTTTTTCCTTTATTTTGGCGGCTGAGTCGTGGGAATCAGATGCGTGTCGGAGTATGATTCGCTTGTCAGCTGCTGTTATTACTGATAATGGCCAACCTTTCATGTTTTTCCCATATGTATCCTCATTGCTTAAATATGCGGTAATAACTTTACGGCTGCGCTAAATATTTTTTGATATTTGAATAACAGAGTGCCCGCACTCCCTGTAAGCCTTTATTTTGCCTTTTTCAGACTCGTCCAACGGTTTTCCTTTGCCCATTATTACTTTATTTTATTGATAATTAGTCCCAATAAATAAATAATAAACTTAAACACCCAATCAAGGCAGCTTACACGTAAAAAGTGACATGAAAGCATGTATGCATTTTTGTCGCACTTCAAAGAAAAAAGAAAAGCAAAATAACGGTACATTTCCAGAGCCCACAGTTATACTTAGAATGAACGAAAATGATACAGAATAGAAGTAGAATGCTCATGAAACATATTCAGAGTAGGGAGTTATTTTCCTTTAACCTGAAAGTGTGCTAATCGGTTGTCCCGCAGTGTAAATATCGCAGACACAACCAGGGTTTAAAGCTGAATGTCATTTTCAAGAAACCAAAAAATGACTTCCGGAGAGACTTACTGTTTATTTTTTTATTTTTTATTTTTTGTTTGAAGTCGAATGCAGTAAAATGATTACATTTACAAAAATACCAAAAAGTTAAGACAAAATAAAATAACGAATAGAAACAAATTACCCTATGACTTCCAGCCTTGCTACAGTTTTAATTTGAATACTTCAAGTACACCCAAAACAGTTTTACCTCATAAAATAAATGTAAAAACATTTCTATACTCATAAATACAGAATATACTCAATGGAATACACATGTACTATGTACAAACCTGTTACACGGGGTTTCGCCGCAATGGAAGAACTGGAGCTGCTTGCCGCCGCGCCTTCGCTGGTGCGCGCACATTTAAGAAGCATTTTCACCAACTTTCTAATACGATGTTATCATAAATTTATAGCACTTGTAAGTATAGAATTTTTGTTTGTTTTACATAGAAAATATATATATGTAACTAAAATTGATTAATTGACAATCTTAGTGCACTTATTGTGGGGAAGGGGATGCTCACGCAAGAAGCCGCACAAAAATTGTATTTTCCCAAAACACTATTAACTACTAAACTTTAAGCTACTCTACTGTTATATTCAATTCAATAAAACATTCAATAATTACTACACTGCGAAATTTTTGTACATGTTAGCCGAATCGAGAATAGATATTTTCACTTTATTCACTTTATTTGTTACTTTTACATTCGTTACTATTTTTAGCAATTTTTCTGTACTACACGTTTTCCTTTACATGTCCATTTGCTTCCCTGTGCTCAATGGGTGATAATTTTTTTTATTTATTCAAAATACGCACGCACACGTTGACAAGGAGCAGATTGGCGAGTTTGTCATTACACTGTTCCTTGTTTTTTTTATCTCTCCATTGTACCATGCAAGTGCCACGATTTGGTCTGAATTTGTTTAAGAAAAATTTAACAACTTTTAGAAATGACTCAGTTTGTTTGCTTTTTATTGAATACACTTTTAAAATCAATATTATTTAGTTTATAGTTTTATTTTTAGCAACAAATTACAGTTTACGAATCAATTTGGAATTTACGTTTTACTTTAGCTTCCTATACATGGTTTTCACAACTTTTCTCTGGTCTGACATTCTTCACACAGGGTTGCACAGAAAAGTGCTTTTGAAATCATTCATTGTTTACGTAACGTTAAGTGAAGGCTACTTAAGGCAAAGAACTTATATGAATAAGAGGCGACATAACTCATACGGTCTTTGTGCAAATGCGGTGGAGTCGGTCCCAGGAGTTCGTGTCATCACCACATCATATTTCGTAGACGAATATGAATACCCAAAAGCTTCTCATTGGCACATTCAGCACATTTACCCTATCAACAAAAGCAAACAGCTGATACGCTTTGCATGAGCTCTGGTGGCGTTGCTTCAGTGCTCCAATGTTCCACAAATGGAGTGTTTCTGATGACTTTGTACGATTGATTGGTCAAGTTGACGACATAAATTTGTAGTTTGTGTGTGGAGGTCATGTGTATAACAGCTGAGAACGCATTAAATTGAAGGGTTTTTCGTTCGGTTTTATTAATTTTATTTAATTAAACAAATTTTTTTCCATTTACTTTACGAAAGTGTGAGTTTGTGAATTCCAACTGTGGAAAAGATCTCAAATGTCAAATGAAATCGTAAAATTTGTGAACTGTCGCTTGGTACGTAACCATGAACTAATCAAGGAAGATCTTTGGATACGAAATGGAAAAATTATTAATCCAGAGCCAGTTTTCTTTGACGAGAAACTGCAGGTGGGTCATATAAAAGTTCATATCAGTTGTGAACTCATCATCATTTTTAGTTTATTGTTTTATTCTGTTTGTCAGGCTCACAGGCAAATCGACTGCGGAAACTCTATTATTGCTCCTGGATACATTGAATTACAAATAAATGGTAATAAACAAACTGATTGTAGGACATTGCCCTCAAATCATTTGTCGCTATGAACATTTTTTGTTTATGTGGGCGTGTGTGAGTGTGCAACTGTGTGTGGAAAAGTTATATGCAAAAAAAGCACAAAAGCTTCACACATAGTAAGTCTATATGTAAACAAGAACCATTATCGTGAAATGAATTTAGATCAGGGTTTTATCTTATCAGTTGACACACTCTCACTATGGACGCTTTTTTACCGTTAACTTTTGATTTGTAATTTCTAATTTTTATCATGTAGGTGGACATGGTGTGGATTTCTCACACGATGTGGATACAGTCGCCAATGGCATCGAAAAAGTCGCTAAAGAGCTACTCAAAAACGGAGTTACTTCTTTTTGTCCCACCATTGTGACCTCACCACCAGATACTTACCGAAAAATTCTACCTCAAGTAACAGGCAAAACAAAAGGCGCACAAGTTTTGGGCTTGCATTTAGAGGGCCCATTTATTAGTCCACTAAAGAAGGGAGCACATCCTGAGGACTGCATAAAGGATATTGATAAAGTATGTCAAAAGTTTTAAATAGCTTGATTAATATATTTAACACACCTTTTGTTCATTGCAGGGTATTGATTCTTTGATGGACACTTACAGCAACTTGAACAATGTAAAAATTATAACAATAGCGCCGGAAAAGGATCCTTCAGGAAGCGTCACAAAAACCCTTACACATATGGGCATAACTGTGTCATTGGGCCATTCAGTAGCCAATTTATCACAGGGCGAGTTAGCTGTACAAAGTGGGGCCCGTTTGATAACACACCTCTTCAATGCGATGCTTCCAGTATTGAATTTAATTTTTTTGTTTGTCTTAGTATACCTGCTAAATATATTATTTTTTCATCCCATACAGTTCCATCATCGCGATCCTGGTCTGGTTGGCTTACTGGCATCCAATAATATACCGGCCGGTCAGGAAATATATTTTGGCATCATTGCAGATGGCATTCACACACATCCAGCTGCTTTGCGCATTGCACACCGCACCGATCCTAATGGTCTTATTCTTGTCTCGGATGCCATAGCAGCTTTAGGTCTAGGCGATGGTAAACATCACTTGGGTCAATTAGAGTTAGAGGTGCGCGAGGGTAAAGCTTATATTGCCGGTACAGATACATTGTGTGGTAGTATAGCACCGTTGGATACGTGTGTACGCATTTTTAAGAAAGCCACAAGTAAATGTCACAATTTAATACACTAACTTGCATTCTTATCTAGTTTAAAATTTTTCACTTCCGTTTCTCTCTTAAGATTGTTCGACTGTTTACGCTATTGAATGTGCTACACTACATCCGGCTCGTTGTTTAAATATGGCGGAAACTAAGGGTACATTGAATTTTGGCGCCGATGCAGATTTTATTATTTTGACAGATGAGTTGTTTGTGCAATCCACCTGGATTAAAGGTGAATGTGTTCACCAATGTAAACCTGAGGAATGGGCTGCGCTTTCCTCAAGACCTATCGAGCAATTATGTGAATGCAATTAAATTGAAATATACATATGTATATGCATTTATGAAATAAACATTCCATTATACATGGCTATTTTAAAACTTGAAAAAATGTCTGTGACTTTTTTTTTACACAATATTTTTTAGATTGTATACTTTTCAACATATTTTTCTTACTTCATTCAAATTATCGTTTAAAAATATTCACGTTCGTAATTTAAATTAGAGCTAAATTTTTTTTATTTTGTGTAATCATCCGCGTCGCTCTGTGATGATTTTGCTTCTTTACTCAAAACCAGAGAACGTATAACAGAGAACGTAAATACAATTTACGTTCTCTGCGTATAACATATACGTTCTCTGCTCAAAACGAGTTGTCAAATATTTGTTTTTGTTTTGCTTGCATTTGTTGACGTTGTCATTTAATTCTACTAAAAAGGTTGGCTAGCCGCAACCTTGTGCCACCCGCAATAACAAATTAATTTATTAGGCTTTTCTGCTAAAAGTTCAGAATGAAATTTTACATTAAATTATTGCTGCTGTGCAGCTTTATTTTTGGCACATTAGCTTGGGACTCCGAGGAGTTGGAAATTTTCGATTTAGTTGAAGAAATCAATCAGAACTTTTACGAGTTTATGAATATTTCACAGGAAGCAACGAATAATGAGATCAAACGTGCATTCCGTTCACTATCTATTGTCCTGCACCCTGATAAAAACCCATCCGAAGATGCTAATATACAATTTCGCAATTTAGTATCCATCTACGAAGTTTTAAGGGAAACATCCAAACGTGAAAAGTACAATAAAGTTTTGCGCGAAGGCTTGCCAAACTGGAAGTCAGCTTTATATTATTATCGGCGTATGCGTAAAATTGGACTCTACGAAGGAGCGGCTATACTCTTTGTCATTATTACCATTGGTCAATACTTGTTTGCATGGGCTGCTTATCTTGAGAAGAAATACACTGCCGTAAGTCAACGTATCTAAACATTCATACAAAGATATATAAATAAAAAGTTTACGAAAGCATGTAATGAACTAAAACTATTACAGGAGCAAGTATTCGGTTCTAAATTAAAAAAGTTACAGAAGAAAAATAAAGCTATTGATATGGATGTTATACTGAAAGAAATTCCTTCCCCTTCGGTTTTGGTAATATCTGCCATAAATTTTGTAACCTTATTTCTTACTCTGATATATAATTTTATTTTCACTTACAGAACACATTACCATTTCAAATACCACTATTCATTTGGCATTTACCTAGCACAATCAAGGAAGCATTCAGTAGAGCTAATGAGCTTAAGGAGATTGCTTTAGAAAAACGGCGACTGTAAGGCGACGTTACTATGTTTTCCCACCTTTTTTTCATCAAGTTTTCAATTTTTATATCTTTAGTGAACTTGAAGAAATAAAGCGACAAGAAGAGCTCGAGAGGGAATTGGAAGAGCAAGCGCGCTTACGTAAGGAAAAGAAGGAGAACCTACGTAAACGTCGTCAAAATACAACTGCACCCGTAAAAACTGATGAAGAACTGCGTGGTTACTCACAAATACAGGCACGCGAATTGACCGAAGATGATGCTGTTAAGCCTGTGCAACAGAAAGTAAGAAGTGTTAGACATTGTTCTTATAAAAAAAGATAATTATAATATTTATCTCCAGTCAACCTTGAGCGGTGGTTTTTGGACTGACGAAGATCTCACTGAACTCATACGTTTGGTTAAGAAGTATCCCGGTGGCTCGAGCGCACGTTGGAATAGTATTGCCGAAACTATGAATCGCTCAGTACAAGAAGTCACTTTCATGGCTGCAAAAATGAAAGAGAATGGTTATCGTCTTCCAGGGCAAAGCACTGAAGCAAGTAGTGAGTTCACCACACAAGCACAAGAGATTACAAAGAAGGAAAAGGTGAAGAAAACAGCCGCAGCTGATAAGAATATACTAGTTCCTGAAACAAATTGGTCACAAGAACAACAACGCGCCCTGGAATCAGCTATAACCAAATATCGCAAGACTGCCAGTGGCGATCGTTGGCAAAAAATTGCCAATTGTGTGCCCGAAAAGACAAAGGAGGAATGCTTAGTACGTTATAAATACTTATGTGAATTAGTCAAATCGCAAAAAAAAAGCGAAGAGGAGGCCGCTGCGGCTAATGAGGAGGTGACAACAGAAAAGGTAGAGAATATAGTAGAAGAAACGCCTGCCCCATCGAACGACTTAGCGCATAATGTGGAAGATGAGGATTCAGTAGAGAAGAGCGGTAAAAAACGTAGTAAGCGAAAAGAACGCAGACGCCGACGTGATATGTCGAGCAATGAAGATTCAGATGACGCTTATCAATATGAGATCAACTAAATGCATTTGCATTAGAGAGATTGAGAAACACGAATGGCACTTACGTTTATTGGGTAGTGTTAGTGCCGATCACTTTTCGCTTTTAAGTTTCTTTTTAAGACCAATCTATAAAACTGTAGATATCGGGTATTGATTTACTATCCATTTACAGCTTTTTTTGTAACTAAAAATAATTTTTTATGAATGTATATTATTTTGCTAAATTAATTTTTTTATGAAAGAAAACACTAACTACTAAAATATCCTTCTTAGTAAACTTAACAATAAATATATTATAAAAATTAGAAAATTTATGGGCATTCAGCTTTATTTTATTCATTTGATGATGTTGCAGATTCTTTGCTTATTTCTAAGAGCGAATTTTGGGACATTTCCGTATCATCCTCATCGTCTTCGATTTCCATTTCGAAAATGGTCATTTTCCGGCATTGTTCTGAGAGTATAGTAACAACCTGAAAATTTGATTTACACCCATTTAAAATACCATAAAATAATTTTAAGTGCCAGTGCACTCACCTTTCTGCTGCCTGACACTGTCATATGCGTGGACTCGCCCTCAAGTGGCTTCAAATTGTTACCTTCCATTAAATCGGGTACATGACATGGATAAACCATATCTAACAAACTAATATTATTTGGCATCAAATGTTGAGTTTGCTTTCCTTTCGCCGCATCCAAAGCGAATTGTAAGAAATAGCTTTGTTTACTTTCATTTTGAGCGATGCTATGTATCAATAGGGAAAGTGTGCCTTCATTATAAAATTCTAAATCAACGAGTTGTAATTTGCTGTAAACATCATCACGTAGAGCTTCGCTGGTGAACGGTCCTGGTTGTAAATCTAAGCGCATACAACGCAATAAGGAAAATTCTTTATTGAATTCGAGTAGCAATACTTCATGATGATTTATTGTTGTCACCAACATATCAGTATTAGCATCTTCATTCGCAACGAATGAACTATGTACTAAAGCATGTTTGTCTCCTTCACTCTCTGCAAGCCACGAAGCACAAATTATTTCTGCATCCTGAACAAAACTAGCACTTATACTCTCATCGGGTCGCTTGAAAACCTCATCAACAGCTGCTAAAAGCTTGTCACGTTGTTGAATAAGTGAAGTTTCTTTTTCGTGCGGGAAGAGTAATGTGCAATTGCGTAAACATTCGTTTTCATCCAGCAAACGATGCCACAAATGATGCGGATCTGATTTGACGATCTGCTGCAAATTACGATTCTCCATATATTGACCAACCTTTTCCAAATTAAATTTGCGTTTTGTTACTGTGCCATCGTCTAAGGGTGCAAGGAAAGATATTAAAATTTCGATATAATAAAAAATACTACATATGTAAATACCATTCTCTACAACACTATCCTCAAAGCTATTTAAATATTCCGCTAAGTAAATAGTGTCTTCTGGTGTAAGTTGTGTCATTTCTTCCGGTATGTCATGCTGAAGAAGGCGTAAAATAACGATGCAAAGCCAAGAGAAAAAGAGCTTCATATCACTAACGCATTGATCGATCACTTGTTGAACTTCCAACACTTTCATTAAAAAGGCACCGCATGCACGAAGTGCCTCTTGCGTTACTTCACATGATAGTAGTGGCTATTAAACGGAAAATAATTTATTCACAAGAAATAAAAAAAAGCATCACAAGCATACCTCAAAGAAGTAAGTGACTCGACTTAGTCCTTTTAGAGAATTTAGGAAAAAGAACATATTAACACCGCTGCTCTGTAGCTGTTTGGTAACAAGACTCTCGACCGTTGAGTAACTAAGATCAATGGAGTTTGCTAATTTTTTGACTCCCTTTTCGGTTAGGTCGCTACAATAAAAAGAAAATATCCAATTGCCATAAATTAAGATAAATTTTAAATAATATTTTACTCACTCTCTAAGAAAGTCTTCAATTTCATGTGTTGCATAGCCAAATACAAGTAGTTCTAAAAAATCTGCCGAAAGTGAACCTTCTGGTTGTTGATTGGCATATTTTGTTAGTTTATTATCCATTTCCAAAAGCACAGTCTCCCAAGCTTCCATGATACATTGTATTGTTTCATTAATATAACTAAATTGTATAAGGAAGGAATAAAAAAATTCAATATAAATCATAAATACTTTATATACTTTTTAGTCTCTAAGACATTGGCGCAGTGCACTGCCAGGTGAAGCATTGGCGAGATGTACTCCTGTAGCACGGAGTTGTGAAAATGTAATACTTTTAAATTTGAGCCGTCGGTTACTAATGCATATACGGCATTGAAATTCCCATTTAGGCGTACATCGTGCACAATGAAATCATTTGGATGTGCAACATGCTGCTTTATATCTATTTGTCCGGCACGCAATGCGCCAAGCAACAGCAAATGGACTTTGCCAGTTACTGTAATAACGACCAGAAAGCATGGTGAACCTTTAGCAAAAGATCTTTGCTCATCTGGTGATTTAGTGGCAGAACCTATGCCACTTAACGGCGGTAAAGGTGGTAAGAAAAAGTCGAATGTGTGCTGCAATTGTTATTTTGTTATAAAATTCTTTAAATTAATAATAGTAAATGTCTAACAATCAACATACTTCCGTACGATTACGATATGTGCTGCGATAGTCTGATGTTTTTATAGATTTGCTGAAATAGACACGTTTGATTTCATCTTCAAAATTAAGAACGGAAATTTGATCTTCACGCTCAGCGTCAAGCAAAGCCACTCGCCCGTTGCTGTAGCCTACCTTGTAAATAAGTTAATTTAAAATTAGTAACTAGAGAAGTAGCTTATTACACTAACCGACAGCTAAAACAGTTTCATCCAACTGCCAGCTAAGTGAACGCACCGCAATATCTTCGCCTAGTGAGGGAAACGTTACAATCTTCTGCCAATTTAAACGCTGTATAATGACTTCCCCTTCAAATTCGTTATTTAATTTTTAAAATGAAGCAATGACATCTGTTGTAAGGAGTAGCAAATTTAGATATGGCTTACCTCTGTCGGTACCGTAGGCAATTAAATCCATTTTGTTGCTCCACTGCATACGCTCAACTGCGCAGCCTAGCATACGGGAGCCCATTTGTTTCATTGAATTCGCTTGGGCCATATTCATTTACACTCTCGGTATAGATTAATTATGTATTTTTTTTTATCAATTTACATTGCAAGGACAATTATCTAGTATTTTGTTTTAAAATCGCAGTTTTCTTTATACTTTATTTACGTTTTCGCATTAATGCCCCAAAATTGATTACCCAAGAACTGCCGTACAATCGCTTTTGTTAAACTTGCAAAAATCTGGATTACTCAAATAGTGGCATCACAAACGAGTTATTTCATAAATCCTAATATTCAGAGCATTATTTTAAATATCTACTACCTTAAGACTACAAAATTAAAAATTTTGATGGTAGTTTCATTTATGATTTAAAAAACTACCGCTCTGTTAATTATTTTTTTGCAAACAACCACATGAAATGTAATCTTCAGTGGCAGCACTACTTTCTGACAGCTGTCATTGTATAATGCCCAAAAAGAAATATTAATGCCCCCTACTGAACCGGCGCAAAATGCTCGTGAAATTTTTTCACACCGCACACAGTTTTACCAGTTTTACTTTGCAGCCTGCGCCATTCCTTTAATAGTGAAAAAATCTTGTGATGGCAAAGGTGAGTGTTAAAAATTCATAAAAATTGCAAATATTCAAAGTTAAAAGTGTATTTGATCTATACCAATTGAAAGTTTCCAAGAAGATTAGTTTATAATGGTGAAATTATGTATTGAAAAAGTGTGAAAATTTTTACTATTCTGGGTAGAAAAAGTTCTTCATGCAGTGTGCGGTGTCAGGGGGAGGTCGTCGCGAAAAAATCTAGAAATAGCGTGAAAAAGTTGAAATATACTTAAATACTGGCAATACAAATGAAATAATTTATAAATAATTGTTTGCAAAATAAAAATTTTCCACTGAAGGACGTTTTTAGTGGCAAGAAAAAGGAGAAATACTTTCAAGGACACATGAGCATTGAAAATTATAGAATGGTTTTCTGATTTGCTCGTTAAAGGGGCACGAGGGTTTTTCGTGCATGTATTTGTACGCGTGCCATATTGCTTGTACTTGTTGGGTGGTGGTGGGCTTGCTTGCTTTACTATGCTGGTAGCAGACCACAGGGCCTTCCGGAATACGAACTGATATATTGTAAAAAAAACACTCGTTACGTTATGAGGAGAATGCGACGAGTGGCCGAAAGTTTCTTTCACTGATTATCGTCTACACGGGTTGTCAAATTGGTTGCGCTTAAACATACATGACTTCCGTTGGGTTCCTTAAAATTAGAACGAGTTCATTTTAAATAAAACAAATGTCCTTTGTTGCCAATGAAGTAATGATGAAGTTTTAACAAAAACCATTAAATATTTAAACAGCATTCGTATACATATGTATCTACTTCTATATCACAAAAAGTAGCACGACAGAAATCTGTATGCACAAAGAATTGACAATAATTTGCCGAAATAAATAGCAAAAACCAATAAAGCAACATATATAAAAGAACAGAATAACAGATGTACGTTTCTGCATGTTCACAAATGTACTACAAATATAAATATGTGCGAGAAATGTACTATATAAAGAAACCATCGATATAGGCAATTCCAATAGTACGAATACGAATACCATAATCAAATTTGCAGTACCCAGGGTTGCCAGCACATTGTGTAGCAAACATTGAAGGTTACAGGATCGCTCTGTTATATACTGCTCTGAGCACAAGAGGAGTGAACACGTTTTTTCTTTTAAATACCCTCGATATTAATGGTAAACAAAAAAAGTATAATATGTACAAGTTTACGTGTAATTTGTGTTTTAAACAGCTGTACAAGTTATCTAATATACCTACATGTGTTTCTGACAAGCTAAGTGGGTGCGAGTTGTATGTGTGGCGCGTGAACAAAATTTTAACATGTATCGAAATTTCAAATATTAATTTATGAATAAAACTAAAATGAAGAAAGACTTTAGTAGCAACGTTTAAAGTTATGGAATTCTTTCTTTAATTTATAGCGTTATTTGCATATACACTTTGTTTAAAATTGCATAAAAGGTTAAACTAAAAGGATCTACTGCTTTCAAGTAATGGAAACAAAAATATTAAATATTGATTGATATACATATGCACATACGAATAAGTGGTTCATAGATGAAATGATGATGAGACAGCTTAGAGTTTCTTCAAATATTTATTCTTGCGAAAAATTTTAACCACTCATGCCATTTGTAAGCACGAATCCTGGAAGTCTTCTTATGTAACGTTTAACCGAGTTATTAACTCAACCTACTGACAATGCGATTTTTCCTAATGTGAATTTGAAAAAAGAAATCTTAACCTTATTCTGATTAGTATTTTGGTACATATGTATCGCGAAGTAATTGCAAATCTAAATAGTGGAAGGAGACTTTCTAAAGAATTATAATAACTATCTATCGCTTTCATTAAAGATAAAACCTACACGACTGAAAATTCGACCATTTTTATTATTTTAAGTTCATACTGTAATGAACTGTCGAAAAAAAGTGTTTGTACATGCATATGTATGTACATAACTTCAATGTATTTGCTAACTTCAGTTATGTACGTCAATATTGGTTGAAATTGTCATATCACGACTTTTTTTTTATCGAATTTCGTTTTAATTTTCTTTAATATTGTTTCTACAAGAGAACTAAAAAATTTCAAAAAAATTCAGTTATATTTGCAAATGCATAAATATATACAAATATTTAGATCTACCTCTGTGAAAAAATTTACATACATGTTTCTATATACGTATGTCTAATTTACCCTTGTAAAAACTGGAGACCTTGACTCCTGCACATTTGGTATGTTTACATACATACATATGTATGCATGTACGTGTATATGTATGTAGGCAAACTATTTTACCCCTACTGGGCTTGAAAGTTATTTACATGTTTTCGAATTTCTCTTCCGTCAACTAATATTAATTTTTAATGTCTCACCTTTTGTTTTTATTCTTTCAATCCAATAATTGCAATAGTTTGTCTCGTAAATTTTTCTTTTTTTTTTTTTTTACTGATTCTCATATTTCCTCTATGTTTACGTTAACGTTTGTATGTGAACTTATGCATTCGTAGATATGTACATATGTACATAGATAGGAAATGTGCCCACTAATAAGCAGTTTCAGCTGTCATATCACTGGTCATTTACTAGGGCTGTGGGGATACGTTACCTTTGTTGCTCTATATTGTATTGTTGCGCTATGCCGTAAGCATTTTAGAACAGTTGTAGTTATTTACGTACATTCATGATTTGGTACATAAATATATTTACGTAGACATACTTATGTGCATGTGTGTACATATGAAATGGATGCTTAACAAGATTTAACTCGGTGCTGAGCACTCTGCTAGGCACACGCTGCGTATACGTATTCACATTCATTCTTTTTTTTTATTTTTTTTTTTTTGTGCATATTTAAGGTGGCTTACTAGCCACATCCATTTTTTTTTTGTAATAATTTTTTTTTTTTTTATTATAATTACACTCACTGACACTTTATACGAGCGTTTACCCTATCAAACTACGTAGGACCTACAAATGTAGTGTATTCGTTTATTAGATTTTTTATTTTATCGGGAGTGTAGCTGTGCTGCATTCGAAAAGGTGGCTTGTGAGCTTCCTCAATTTATTAGTAACTTGTTCTTTCCCTCATATAATATATGTACATACATATGCGATGTATGTACTTCCTTTTTTGTGCATTGATTATTTCAACCTTTGTACTAGATACATACCTCCCGTAATACAGGCAAATAAATATACATATGTGTGTGTATGTGCATAAATATACGTAAGTGTGTTGTATCTTTTTTATTGCCTGTAACTGGGTGCATATAAACATTTGTTGGTAGGTACAATAGAAGTGACACAATTCAATTATTTAATATACTTGTACGTATGTACATACGTACATATCTGTTTACTTGTTTTATCTACTTGAATTCATATGATGTACATATAATATGTATATATTTATTTTATTTATATTATTATTATTATATTATAATTTTTTTTGCTTAGTCAAAACAGTTAAAATTAACGCAAATGTCTGCTGGGTTGTTATATATACATATATCCATATATACATATATAAATTGCATACTTACTGTATTTAATGTAAATCTTTGTTAGCAATTTCGAATTCGTATTAAAATAATCCAGCGCTTACATCAGTATGTCAATACATACAAACAATTATATGTAGTTACATACATACATATGTATAATAGGGTATATAGGGTAAATGGACAAATGAACGGACACCATCTAGTAACAGAAGGGTTTTAAGTTTTTTTTTTACAACAAAAAAAGAAAAGTATGCATAATTTTATGTCAAAAAAAAAAATGTATTCGAATTAATTCAAAATACTATATAAAATTTCACGTGTTTTCGTAATCAGCTTTGTTTAAATGGATTTATTACTTAGTGGGACATTTAGGGCAAAGTGTGCGAATGTTTTATTTCCCTTAGGGGAGAGGGATTTTTAAATGAAAAATATGTTTTTATTTATAAAATTGAACTTGGCACTGTTTTATTTTTACAGATAATCAATTTATATTTATTTGAAATACATACATATTTTGCTAAAAAAAAAGGTATTTTTTAATACAATAATAAATTAAAAATGCATAACAACGTAATATTGTATTGTATATCCGCACTGTTGCAGTGGAAATATTTTTGTAGTGAGACAATAAATTTTCTTATTCATTAAAATTTAAGAACTTTAAGATATTTATATATATAAAATAAAAATAAAAACTGCTGTTAAATTGGCGTTCGCATACTGGATTTTTATTGTATTTTCATTAAAAATACGACTTATTTCACAAATGTAACTTTTACAAAGAAACTTAATTATATTTATAGAAATTCGCATTCTAAATCGACTTATAATTAATTAAAGATCCAGAATTGATCCAAACATTTAATGAACATAATTAGTAATATGAAAAAAATGATGCATAAAGTTGAAAAAATGTTATTCGTCCGCTCCAGCACATTTACCTTACATATGAACGTGTGTAATGGTCCAGTAAGTAGTCAAAATAAAACTAAAATAGAATTTTTGTAAAGAATGAAAGCCTCTCTACGCCTCATTGAACGCATTTCTGTTTGCAAAGCGCAAATATTTATTTATTTCTTCAATATGTGAACTTCAAAACAATTCTTTTTTTTGTTTTTGCTTCTATTGAACCAAACAAAGTAAAGCGCAGTTCTTTGGAAATAAATAAAAAAAGCTGGGAATCCCCTTATTAAAAATTTATTTGTTTTATTAAACTTTGTTAATAATAATTTCATAACTTTGTGCAAAAAAAAAAAAAAAATATATTTGATGTTCAATATGCAATAGTGTTTTGTATAACATATTTTGTACGAATCTCTGCAATATGAGTTATTTACAACTTTTTATTATTACAATACAATTTTGAAAATTGTTTACTAAATTTTTAAAAATACTTGCGCCATGATCGGTAATTTGTATAGGAATTTTCCTTTTCTAAATACTTATTTTTTACATATTCACAAAAAAAAAATAGAATTTTTACATTTTCCAATTTAAAAAAAAATTCTGAAATATTTTTTGTATTTAAAAAAAAATGTGTTTTCCTTTTTTTTTGCGAATACAATAAAACAAGTGCATCATACATGCATATATCCATTTGTACATACACATATATGCCTACATACTCATTTTATGTCTTGCATTTTCAATAGTAAGTGGTCTTTAATTGAAATTATTATAGTCAGCGATCGTCTTGACGCGTGGTGAATATTGCACTTGTCGATTTGTACATGTATACACATATGTATTTGTACGTACATACATATACATATAGACTCCCCTATTTTTGTTTAACACAAATATTTGCGTGTTTTTGGTTGCGTGTAGATTATTTTAAATTTACATTAAACATGCTTCAGTTTCATGCGTTTAATATTTTTAATTGAGGTTTCGAGTGCAGGCTAATTTTTAATTGTTGTTTTTTATTTCCTTCGTCTTCAACGGTAGTGGGTAAGCTCTTAAATATAGAAGATACGTTTTTACTAGAGAGTATCTTGTGAAATTTATTTATGTATGTATAGCTACGATTTAGTTTGTAAAAGAGTTTTTCTTGATGCATCAGACATCAATTTATATATCCATGTATGTATTTAAATAAAAATTTAACTTAAACTTTCTTATTGCGGCCGCTCTTCGACAGGTAATGTTCACCCTACCGAGTGTACCATCAGCCGTTCGGAGGCGGCTTAGTATAAACTGTAGGTCTCTCCATTTGTTTGAAAAACCATCAAGTTGCAAAACCACAAATTTGAGGAAGAGATCGGCCGAAAAATCGCTTCAGCGATTATATAATATATGTATATATATATGTATATGTATATATACGTATGTATTTAAATTCTTGCATCTACTTTTCAAATTAAACGGCGATATCAATCGTTGGTGGAAAATTAACTTTCATCAATTTTTTTTTTTAATTTTCTCATATATCAATAGTGAGCAATCAAAAAGCTGTCAGAATGACATTAAAAACCAACTAATTCATTCCGTTTAATTTTCGTTTTGCCTCGAGCACACCAAATAACTGATTTTAATACCTTACAACTACAAGAAAGTTTTTCCACTTGCCAATAATTTTGTTTGTGCAATCGCAGTGATCGATGTAAAATTTCCTAAGAGCTATTATTATTTTCATAAAATACAAATTAAATACAACTGATATAAGTCGAGTGAAAAGATGAAATAAAATAATTTGGAAATAAAAAAAAAAAACAAATGCTAAAGTTGACTTATTTTTCTTTAATATTTTTTCTGTGTGTTTTCTAATATTTTTGCAGACGTTGGGTGTTCAATAGACTGTTCACTAAAGACCCCAGCTATATCAACAGCAGTGTAGCGGTTACGTAAACTGAGTATTTAATATACGAAAAGCCTAGATAGGACGTGTGAAGTTGAGGTAGACGGAAGACGAGACAGACGAAAGATCTGGAAAGTGTGATTTTCTTCAGATGCGCTTTAAAACATAAGTAAATTACAAAAAAAGGCAAAATAGAGGAGCTGTGAAGGAAAAGAAGGGACATTTTTTCGGCTTGGCAGTGAGTAAAGTGCAGGAGTAGACAACGAGCAGTTGGATAACGTTAACAACCATACCGGAAACTGGCGACTAAATTCGTATACTTCATCCAAACATCTTAAAAATCTCAGAACACTTTCGATAAACTGCAAAAACAAACTCGGAACAGCTGCCAGGAAGCATTGGATGGAAAGGAAGCAGAACAGTTCGTAGACAAGTGTGTGAACAATAATAATTACGATTCTACAAATCTTTATACACATACCTACATAAATATATATATCTGAATAGTATTCAAATTTAATTAATATCCGTAAAAAAAAAAATTATCAAGAGCGTACGCAAGTGCAGAAGGATTGCCGTCGGGAGAGAGCAGCTTGCGATAGACCTAGCGGAAGAGAGGAGAGTAGAGCAATTTATTGTGCTGAAAAGAAGGAGCACACAAAACAAAAAACGCAAATTTAAACCAGTTTTAAATATAACAACAAATATTTTAATTATACACTTAATAATATACATTCAATATTTTATTTTAAATCATATATACATATATGTATAACAAAAAAAAAAACACAAATAAGTTCAAACTAAACAAAAAAAAAATCAGCAAAAAAAGTAAAATATTGCGCAGAAAGAACTTTGTGCAGCGCCAACGTTTTGTTGGTCACTCAAATTGAACAGGAAAAAAAAATTTACAAAAACGCAGCGAAGGCGAAAAATCGAGATTAACTAGCTCAAGTGTGCACACTTGAACACGCTCTGCGTACTGAATATATACATACATATATATATTAAAAAAACTCAATCTCAACGACACCCATTAGAGGCTTCAATTTGTGCTAAAATCCGCTTTTGGATTTTCGCATTGAAATATTTAGTGTGCCACCTGTGGCTGCAAAGAAGTCTGAAAAAGGCGCCATTTTAAAGCAAATAAAAATACAAAGAAAAAATAATAATATTAAAAAACAAAATAAAAAAAAAATCTTTATATAAAAGAACATTGCCAATCGCTAAGCTGAGCTGTAAACAACCAACCAAATCCAGTGGAATTTCGTATACTTTTGGATACTACATAATACTATTATCTACTACTAGTTGCAGAGCGACACATCGTCGTATTACTAATCTAAAACGTTTCAGCAGGCGTACATCAATCTTCTATTCTATTAAGACTTTAACTCGCAAAACAAGCCATTTTACTAATTGACGATTATATACGATAAATATTTTCCAACGTTATTTTGCATATTCTGTTTTTCTCTCTATTGAAGACGTTTAGAAGCAAATTTTCTTCCCACAACAAAAAAAACAAAATACAAAAACAAAAAACCACGAACTTTTCCGCGCATTATTCTTGTTATTGCTTTTACTACAACTACTACTTAAAATATATGCATACGACGTACATATGTATATAGATATTGATCGTATTAGTTTATGAAATTGTGTCGACCTGGTCATTTACATACATATATACATATATATTCTCATAACTTGGAAAGATACGAGCGCCATATTTGTATTATTTTAAAAATTTTAAAACAAATATCATATATACATATATATAAATATATATGTATATGTATAAATATATATAAACCAAAGCCAATCACCTAAAAGAAAAGCCCATAACCAACATTCGGAAAGAGTAGTCACTCACAAATCAACAACAACAACTAAAAGGATATCAAAATCTCGTGAACAACACAAATCAAACTCTAACTTATAGTTGAAGGAGAAGGCAAACTAAAAAAAAAAATAAAATAAAAAAATCACAAAGTTTATAAGCATATAAATCTTAATATATACATCTCTATATAAATATCAAAGCATAACGGCATTTGCCAAATTTGCCTAAAAAACAAATCACCGAAACACCATCATCTTCCGTTTTTTGCCACCAGATATTGTAAGCAATTGCATAATTATTACTAAAAAAAAAAAACAACCAATAGCAAATAAACGCATTCGAGATTTGCACGTTAACGAAAAAAGTTTGCCTATAAGAGAAGTCACAGAACTTTTCTGCTCACAAGCATTTTACCATCACAACGCGTAATTTTTTTCTTGGAAATTCCAAAACACATTATTTTCTTCACGTCAACTTTAACCTAAAACGCCACTTATGGCATCACTCGAGGAACAACCAATCTCAACGATCACCGCCATTTCCACCTTTGATCCCGCTACCACCAATAATACCTCCACTGACATCAATTCGAATACAGCCAATACTTCCGCTACCACCACTACTGCTGCACCTGCCGGTGCTGTTACCAACGCACTTGCTAGTGGTTTGTCATCGTTGGATTCGGATTACGGCTTGAGTGCCTGTGCTGAGAAGCAACTCTTAAACCCAGCCGGTTTGCTGGGTGGCACTGGCAACACAGCGACAGGCTCGTTGAACATAAATACTACTAACGCTTCGTCAACTGGAATTACTGTTGATTCTATTGTGGAGAAGCTTGTCAGCTCTTTAACACTCGATATGGACACTGAACCGCTAGTAGGTGGCAATACAACCATGACACGTGAATTCAATAATAACGGCAGTGTTGCAAGTGAGCATAAGAGCGTTTCATCGCGTTCGTCCTCCTTGGCCGGTAACATGTTTAGCGAAGTGTTCGATAATAAGGCCAACGATTTGGAATCCGGTTCGCTTGAGGACTCATGCAGCTCGATTGGCGCGGATGGTATGGACAAGAATTGCAAGATTTGCAGGTAAGAGTATGCCATTATTTAATATTTTTTATATATTTTTTTTAACTCGCATTTCTTTTTTGCAGTTTACGTTTAGTTGCGCCACGTGTGCTCTCGTGTCTCCATGTATTTTGTGAATCTTGTCTGATGAAACTGCTTAATGAAGAGTCTAACGGCAATACATCATCGGCTTCGTCCACTACTTCTACCGCCGGTGAGCTAATGCCGCCGTTGAAATCTGCTATCGAGTGTCCCACATGCAAGCAAGTAACAATGGTAAGTTATTGAAAAGGCAGTTGGAAAATATTCGTATAATAAAATGCAGCTTAGCTTTGGTTTTCTGACTTTTTCGAAGTATGAGTTTTTCTGGCTTTTGAAAAAATATGCGCCTAAAAATATATTAAAAATTCTAAGCATTATATTCTTACCGAAAATTGTTAAAAACCACAAAGTGACTGAAACATGCAGTGGAAGTCACGCAAAACTAGCTATATCATATCATATCTACAACATACACATATTGGACATATGCCATTGTTTAAAACAATTTTCTATGCTTACAGGTCGGTTCTAAAGGAATTGAATCATTGACTTGCGATTACATCTTGACCAACATACTTGATCTCTCCACCATCGAGTCGGAACAGTTATCTTGCACTTCATGCAAGAGCAAGGAAAAGGCCATTTCACGTTGCAGCGATTGTGCAAATTTCTTGTGCAGTGGCTGTGATAATGCACACAAGTATATGCGTTGCTTTGAGAATCACGAAGTAGTTAAACTCGAGGATTTGCAAAAGTCTACAGCTGATAAACCGCTCACCATTCATAAGCCGCTTTTCTGCAATGTGCATACCGCTGAAAATCTCAAATACTATTGCTTCAATTGTCAAATACCAGTTTGCAATGATTGTTTAATCGCCGACCACAAAGGTAGTGAGCATCATTACGATGTTATGGCGATGGCTGAAAAGTCAGTGCGCGTTGATGTCGAGAATTTAATGAAGGAAGCTAAGTCCAAGGTGAGTTTGTAATGCAATATATTTCAAAAGTATCCTTTTCTATCCGATATAGCGCGTTTGTCTTTCATATGGAGATGAGATTTTAAATCACATTTTGATTTTTCAATTACAGGTGCAATATTGTGATGCTGCCGCCTCAAATCTCTCCAGTGCTCTAACTGAGCTTCAAACGCAACACGATTCGGCACGCTCTCGTATTGAGGAAACTTACCAAACCTATAAGAAGATTTTGGAGAAGTGCCGTGACCAATCTCTTACCGAGTTAGGCAAACTGCACTCGGAGCGGGAGCTGAAAGTAATGGATCTACTGCAGAACATCGAAAATACAATGGGAAAAATCGATAGTACCTGCAAATTTACAATGCGCGTGCTGGATCAAGCCAATGCCGCCGAGTTTCTATCAATGAAAAAGTTAATTAGCTCACAATTTATTAATCTTATTAATAGTACACCAAAATGTGACATTAACTACTCGCTGACATTCGACACCAAAGCCGAGAAATTCGAACAAGTCGCTCAAGAGACTTTCGGCAAATTCCGCACCGAGTCAACACCACCTTCACCAAAAGAGAGTACACCACCACCGACCCTACCCGGCATGCCACCGACGATGATGAGCAGTCGTAACGGCGGTATGAATACATGCGGCTCACAAGGTCAACTAGCTGGTGGCAGTTCTGTTACGGCCAGCAGCCCAATATCTTTACCAACATCCATGCAAAGTTCATTCGATGGCGACTTCTCTGTACTGGGTAATGGTTTTCTCATGCCAAATGTTTTGGCACCCGACTCACCACCACACCAGCCACCCACTTTGCATCATCAAATTTCTCAACAACAACAACATCAACAACATCAATCTCAACCAACACCAGCTCAACCACCAGCACATGGTGCAAATGGTGTACGAGGCCCTGGCGCTTTCGATGGTGTGGGCTGTGTTAATGGTGGTGTTGGTGGTGGTGGTGGCGGTGTTATGCCAGGCAGTGGTTTGGCTAATAGCTTAAATGCACTTGCAGGCAGTCATGGCCCATTACATGGACACAACCAAGGTCATGGTCACGGACATGGTCACAACGTCGGTGGGAGCGCCAACCCACTCAGCAGTGCTGGTAATAATATGAATGTCGGCTTGAACAATAATGCAATGGGTAACGGTGGCATAAATGGTTCACTTGGCCAAGGCATGAATGGACTTGGCGGTGCTGGTTCAGTTGGTGGCGGCCTGAATGGCCCACTCAGTGCTGGACTCAATGGGCCGGCCAACGGTGCTGGAGTGAATGGCGGAGCACCTCCACCAAGTGCTTATAATAGTATTCTGGAATATAATTTGTCACGTCTTGCCAGCCTCACTGAGGCCACTCCAGATGTTACTCTTAACGATGCTTTGGTGGGCGCCGGTGCAGGCGCTGGTGGTCACCATCAGGCAGTGGTGCCAGCATCGTCTGGACAGAATCCACAGATCTCATTGGCTGATATATTGTCGGGTGATCAACGCGCCTTCAACAATTTGCAAGCGCTCGCCAAGATGGGACTCAATAACAATGGTAAGTAGGATGTAAAGGGACAAAACCATTAGCCTTCATTAGTGCGTGAAATTGGGTGGAATAGTTCTTTTTAGTAACTTCTCAAGCACTAAGTCTGCCTCATTTTACACCAATTACCACAAACCCTCAGCCACCCACCATTCACTAGTTTAATTGCACTTTTGATAACGAATAAAAAACACATTTTATTTTGTAATATATAATTTTTTTTTTTTTTTTTTTTTTTTGCAAATATATGCATTGAATTTTTTATTAGTATTAAATTAATTAATTAATTTTCTTCTTGTCATTAAGTTTGGTGAAGTAATGCATTGAAACTTTTTCTCGCTTGAAATTAAAAAAAAAATTATTATTTAACCTTTGTTCTTTATCTTTAGAATTAAAATTTTTCTTTGTATTAATATTTACCTTTTTTTATTCTTTTTGTGTTACTTTTTTTATTATTTCCAAATGACTTCTGCTACATCACCAACACCACCACCAAAAACAACAACTATTCTCACCATAATTACTATTAATGCCAACAAAAAAAATCCTACAAATTTATCAACCGTCCTTGCGTATCGCTCCGCTTGATTCCGCTCTACCCACAAACAACTACCACCACCTTAACACCATCCACAAATAATAATAATAATAATAATACAAATTACAAAAACACATATGACAATGTGTTTGCCAACTCACCACACCACGTCGTTATTACAACATACGTTTCGTTTTTTGTTGTTGTTGTTGATATTGTTGGCATAATACAAGTAGATTTTCACACAGACATGAATCAGCTTTTATCGAGCGGAGCTTCACCCGGAATTGATTGTATATTACCAGATTTCTGCCTACCCGCAGCCACATCGCCCAGCCTATCAACACTTGGACCCCTCGGTCCTGGTGCCGTCGACGACTTGTCCATAACAAATTTCCATGCTGGCGCTACACCAGGTACAACCAATATCGTTACTGGACGCAATAAGGCTACACCCATGCAAATACGTTGTAAATTCGGTTCGCTCGGCACCTCCAAGGGTCAATTCAATTCACCACACGGTTTTTGTTTGGGCGTTGACGAGGAGATTATTGTCGCCGATACGAATAATCATCGCATTGAAGTTTTCGACAAAACTGGCACACTTAAATTCCAATTTGGCGTACCCGGCAAGGAGGAGGGTCAATTGTGGTATCCGCGCAAGGTGGCCGTAATGCATACCAATGGGAAATTCGTCGTTTGCGATCGCGGCAATGAACGTTCTCGCATGCAAATTTTTTCCAAGTGTGGACACTTTATGCGAAAAATTGCTATTAGGTGCGTTGCCGTGCACAGCAAGTGCTTCAATTTTCGCAAAAAGAAATATATATATTCATTATTTTTATGTTCCATCTATGTATATGTAGATATATCGACATTGTCGCTGGCTTGGCTGTCACTTCGAAGGGTCACATTGTGGCCGTGGATAGTGTTTCGCCAACAGTCTTTGTCATATCCGAGGATGGCGAGCTGGTGCGTTGGTTCGATTGCAGTGACTATATGCGCGAACCATCTGATATTGCCATACGTGGTATGTAAAAATATAATTGTATTACTCCATTAATGCAACGACATACCTTTTAATTATTTAATATATCTTTATTCTAGACAATGACTTCTATGTCTGCGACTTCAAAGGTCATTGTGTTGCTGTCTTCCAAGAGGATGGTACTTTCCAATATCGCATTGGTAATGAGAAGGTCACTTGCTTCCCCAACGGCATCGATATATCAAATGCAGGTGATATTTTAATCGGTGATTCGCATGGTAATCGTTTCCATGTGGCCTGCTATTCACGTGATGGCGTATTACAATCGGAGTTTGAGTGTCCACATGTCAAGGTGAGCCAGAGTGCACGTGTTTTAGTAGAACAAAGTTATAAATGCGTCACAATATAATAAGAATAAAAATTTACAAACCTAATGTTGAATGAATTATGAACTTACTTTACTGACCCGTTTAGAAAACATCTCTATGAACATTAAAAAGAAAACCCTTAATAATATTGATAAATTGATTGCAATTTTTTTACACCATTTTTTTTTTTAGATAAGACGGGTTTTATAATGTTTATTTTTTTATATTACTAATTATTTGTTTGCTTTATCTAAAGGTTTCTCGCTGTTGTGGCTTAAAAATAACCTCCGAGGGTTATGTCGTCACTTTGGCCAAGAATAATCACCATGTGTTGGTACTTAATACGCTCTACGTTCACTGATCGCAAATCAAAACCACAACAAACAGCAGCAATATCAGCGGTAGCCACACTAATATCGGCTGTCATAAATCCAATTTTCCAATGAATGTTACCAACAACGGTGGCATTTGTAGCGGCATCAATAATGTTGGCGGAGGAGGTAATAATGTTTATGAAGGAAATGCTAGTAGCTGCAATATAGTTGCAAACAGCAGTGTAGCGAATAGATACGTAACGAATAATGGCAGCGCTGGTAGCAGCAGCAACACCAACAACAACAGCAACAGCAGCAACAATAATAATATAAATAATCATCATCACACAACTTATCCTCCGCAGCAATATAATTCACATCCGCAAGCACACAATCAGCATCACCATGCGCCTACACATCATTATCAGCAGCAGCAGCAGCAACAACAACAACAACAACAACATAATAATAATAACGTTGCTAGCAATATTGTACATAGCAACAATAACAACATCAGCAGTAGCAACAACAGCAATCAAAATCACAGCGTACAACGTTCAACAGAGTCTAAACAAAATCTCTGGTTGATGATGAATGCCGGAGGTGGGGCAAGTGTAAGTGGTGCTAGTGGCGCATCAGCCGTCAGCAGTGCATTTGGTGGTAATGGTGGTGGTGGTATTGCCGCTGATAGAACTTTACCACAACAACCGCCACCGCCACACGTGCATCATTAAATTAGTGGGCAATTGTGAACAGACAGCTAAGGGTTACCATTTTTAGCAGGTAATATGTTTAAGTACAGCAAACAACAAAAACACATAATATCTAACCTATAAAAAAAACCAGTGAAAATGAGTTATTCGATAAATTAAGGGAAAATAAACTACTTTAAGTGGTGATACTCTCAATTTTTGAGTAAGAACAATGCAAGTGAGTAAAACTAGGAAATTTCAGCAATTGTAAAAGGAAAAAAAAAAATAGTATACAAACATGCACACACTAAATAAGCTAGATAATACTAATAACACCAATACACAACACTGCGAATAGACAATTTGAAATCTCAAACGAAGCAAAAACAACAACAACAACAAACAAATTTGAAAATTACGAAGTCACTAAAAGAAAACCGTAAAAAATTATATACTTTCATATATAATATAGCTTGTTCAAATTTACAAAAAGCAAAACCATTGCAAGCTTTAACATACACACGTACATACTTTACATTTACATATATTGTTTTTGATCTCTTTCCCAATTTTGATTGCTTTTGAAATCTACCAGTTCATTTATTGAAGAAACAAATTTACAAAGATGAAAATTCTTTAATTAAAGATAAACATAATTTTTTTTGTGGTACGCTTTTATTAACCGTTATATATATATCATAATGAACTTCTAATGAAACGACAAAATAAAAAGCAAAATGTAAAATTATTACAATTTGCATACATATATACTAATAAAAAAAATAAAAGTAAAAATAAAAATACATAAATATGTACAAATTACGCTTTCACAACGAATGAGGTATGTAATGCTCGTGGTGCATTAGATAAAATACTGAAAAAAGTTAGTAAGGGGTGGAAGGTGGGATAAAAACAATTTTAATGAGCGTCAGTTGCAAAAACAACAAGTAAATGTATGATAAAATTATCAAAAGAAAAAAATTGCCAATTAATTTTCAACTATATTTTACACTTTCTCGCTCCTTCTCCCATTTTATTCAAGGCACATTCCGTTGTATGATTAAAAGTAATGTAATAAATGGAAAAATTTCAAAAGATTGCCCTAAAAGTAAAATTATCTTAACAAAAAAACAAAAAAAAAAACAATTATTTGCCAATAATTATTCTGTGATAAAATTAAAAAGCGTTCGAAGCCAAGTGAGCAATTGTCATATTTAATTGCCAACGGTGCGTAGTTTTGAATTTAGGTCTCATTAAGGCATTAAAGCGAAATTGGGAAATAAAAAATACTGAGAGGCTTTCAAAAAGTTTGATTTCTTACGCCACCACCACCACCACCACGACAACCACCTGATGCACCGCCGTTGCAAAACTCTTTTGGGTTATAACTATTTGCAGCAGTAAAGGCGTAACGCGTTTCGCATATGCAGTAACTAATTTAATTAAACATAAATCAGCATTTACATAAAAAATGGCAATTTGATTTGTTTATAATCCCTCTCTTTCTCAACTATTATTCCTTGATTTGTAGTTATTGATATGGTGACTTTAACTCGTGAGAAGTTAAAATAGGTGCTTCGCAGTCATTTTCTAATTTTCAAATTGAAAAATGATAAAAGAAAAAGTAAATTTTATATTTTTTTAATTTTTTTTTATTTTAAAATTTTTTTAATGAGTTAATTTTTTCTTTACAAATATGTGTATATAGAAAATATATATATACCATATACAAATATAGTTATACAATTACGTTTCACCCCACTGTTATTTTTTAAATATACAATTTAGAAAAACAACAAATTAAATTTAAAAACAAAAACATTAAAAACCATCATAAGAAATTAAATATGAAGCAAAACAAACTTATATTAATTTAGAAATATAGCAATTTGTGACCAAAAAATCAACGAATGTATTGCAATTAATGAAGTCGTTGTTGAAAAGCGTTATTTTTTAAAACGTTTGATTATTATTAATTTTTTTTTTTTAATTACTTTTTATTATATATATTTTTCTTGTAACGGTTTTGTATGAAATAAGCAATACTTAGATTCATACATAAAAAAATGTATAAATATAATTATTTTTAGTGCTATAGCTAAAAAGAAAAACTACAAAATTGAGAAAACGAATTCAACAACAACATAAAGAAGGCTGGTTTTCCAAGACATTATTATTATTATTATTATTACTACAATTAAATTACAATTTATAAATGCTAAATATTACATTTAAACATTTCAAAGCAAAGCGAAATATTTTACATATTACTTTTTTGCGTTGCATAAACACATTATATATAAATATATACATATATATGTACATCCATATAAAATGTTTATTTGAATCCGACTTTCTATATGTTATTAATTAAAATTGTTTTTATTGCAATTCAATCTTAAATATTACAGACTTACATACATATGTATATGTATATTAGATTGTGAACAAAAAACTTAATTAACACAAACAATTTTACATATACTTTTACATTAGCGGGTGAATTCCTTTGATAAATGAAGATTTTGGTTTTTAATCCGCCCAGATTTGAACTTTAATTTATTTCCTTTGCCCTGTTTCGCTAAAATGTTTTGCGAAATTATTTTATTATACAAGTGTTAAACTAAAGATAAACGCAATTCAATTTTAACAAAACCCATATAAAAAAAACAACAAAAAAACATAAAAACATACCAACAAAACTTGCGTGTTTCAAATATTTTCTTGTCATTTTATGTATTATCAATATTTTTAGTTATATTTAATTTTATTTTATTATTTCATATTAATGAAACTGAAATGGAAATTTTAAAACTATTTTAATTATATATTAATAATTCAATATATGTAAAACGCCAACAAACAAAATGTAAAAAAAAAATGGAAGAAAAGAGGAATTAACTAAAAGCCTACCTAAGAATTTTTAATTGCAATTTTTAAACGTATACATTTATATATTATTTTTAAAATTAATTTTTTAATTTGAATAACTTTGTTTACATTTTTTAATTTATACAACTTGTAAATGAATATACATATATTTACATGTAATATATATATATATATACTTATGTAAGACTTTTATTGAAGTGAAATGAAGCGAAAAAATAAAAGAGAAATGTATTTGTATTTATAGCAGTAGTTAACGACGTTGTTTACGGTCGTGGAAGGGCAATTGATACTAAAAAAAAAATATATATATATATTTAAAGAAATACACACACGTTTATATTGTATTAAAAACACGAAAGGAATACAAAATCGACAACCATAACAAACAACCAATAATCGCATATTTTCAAGTCATTTTTTTTATTATTATTTAAGTATTTTTTTTTAATATTACTATTATAATTATAAATAGCCTTAGTATGATGACTTAAAAAATGTTTACAATAATTGTTAGTGTAGTTATTATATTTATATATATACAATATATATATATATATATAAAATGAAATTAAAATGCAGGATTTCAACAAATGAAAACAAACAAAAAACACTAAAACCAGATAATATATATTAAAAATATATATATATATATTTAAAAAAAATTGTTGCGTCTTTATGCGCACATATTTAGCGGAAATAGCAAACTTGTATGAGAAATTAAGCAAAGCTTGGTGAAATTGTGAAATGTCTGAAAATGTATTTAGATTTTTTTTTAACCAAATGAATATTTTAGATTTTAAATTTTATTTTTGCAAAAAAATTATGTGCACAAAATATATATGAAACAAAATATTTGAATCTACATTGTTAAAAAAAAAAATGAAATTTCGTGGTGACATTTTCTGTTTAATTTATTATTTTTTGTTATTTTTTGTTATTTTCACTTCATCATACTCAAATGCTTGCCACTTGTCCGCTAGAAATTAAAAAAAAAAATTCAGTGGCTACAATATTCATGTTTATATAAACAAAAAAAAAAATTAGAAAAAGAATATGTAATAAAAATTGGTATCTATCCTCACTCTTAATACAAGTGGCTTAATTTTAAATCATATATAATATTATAAAAATTTACAGTTGCTTAGATTTTAGTTAGAATATGTATATTTTTTCAAATTGAAACTATTTTATATCTGCTGCTGTGTTTCCCTTGAACTAGTGGTTTTGTCAAACAAAATATTTTACTGTAATTTTTTTTTTTTTTTGACCATAAATTTAATAATTAATATAACTTTTTTTTTGTTAAATAATTGGAACGCTTAAATAGAGACAACGTGAGTGATGATGAAAAAGGAAGAAAAAAAAAACAAGTTAACGCATTTTCATTCTGTATGCCAAAACGTATTGATATTATTTTTTCACTTCCAACTCAACAAAACTGCTTTATTTTTTAGTTTAAAATGTTTACAGGTGTTAAAATAATTTTATTATTTTTGTTTATTTTTAATTTTACTTCTTATTACATATATTTTTGTTTAAGTTTTAATTCAAATGTT